ATATATATATATATATATATATATATATATACCTTATTCACTGAGGCCTAAAAAAATACTGAAGATTCAAGTAATGTAATGTCAACAATATTAGGAAAGCCTAGACAACAATGTAATTGCAAACACAGCATACGACTTGTACAGAGTTGCATCACAAAAATTTGTCACAACTAACACTTTTAAAACAATCAATCTTCCACACTGCTGTCATGAAAACTAAACAATCTTTGAATATTAACTCACAGAATAAGTTAAATAATGTCTACACTAAACAGTCTTGTATATTCAACAATCACATGGTCTACATGTCCTAGCCATAATGTTTATGTTACTCTAATTTTGTTTTAATCTGGGTGATCCTCAACCTCCTAATGTCGAGAATGGGTTGTAGAACCTCATCTGTTCAGTTGAGGTTGGATAAATACCTATCCAAAACTGTTTTTCTACATCAGTATATTTCGGTGAACTGTCCCTTGACTTGCCGTTTCTTCTCATGTGGGTAATGAGTTTGCTTTTAGATTTTGTTTCATAGAGTGGCTCTTTTCCAGTCTGGTTTGTGCGATGGAGGACTCTTCAAACTCATGCCCTTTTTTTTGTGTATTGAACTTTTCAGAACATATTCATCTTGTGCACATCCTGTTTTTACACCCATGTCAGATTCATTTCCTTCTTACAGGATGAAGAGCATATCTGTTCCAGAAGTAGTGCAGTTCCCTGCATGTGTATGTTTCTGTCTAGTCTCTAAGTGCACCAGTTATTTCTAGGTGGTCACTTTTCACTTAGTTTCACTGTTAGGTGCCTAAACCGGCCCTTCAACTTTTTTGGTGTGGGATTCTAACTTTGTGTTGAGGCGGTAAGACCGTATCAAAAGTTAACATTTCCTTACACTGAAAATGTATTTCTGATAGTTACATACCTCTTCCCACACACTTTTCACCCTTCCTTGGCACTGCCAGTGTTATTCATTTTAGATTCTGCCAATTCTTGAAAGTGAGGATTGTGTGGAAATATTAGAGGGAGCTAGCTGTGCCAATATAAGTGGTGCAATACTATTGGTGGAAGATAGTCACATGCTGTATACATGTTCAAAAGTGGCACAGAATTTGTGGGGTATACAGACTGGTATGCTGAGTATTAAAATGTTTTAGCAATGGGCAGAAAGAAGATCAAGATTGCTTTGTGTAAGGAGTGGTAGGTATCTATCAGAAATACATTTTCAGTGTATTAACACACACTTTAACTTCTACATAAAAGGCATATATTTAGAAAATTATGGTAAATCTAACTTTCTAAATGCACTTCAGCTTTTTCACAGTTACATGTATTGATAAGCAATACCCCCAATGCCAGGTTTATTTTTAGACACACAATTAAAATAGAAAGACATTTAAATATTACATTACCTGCCTGTCTGAAACTGGAAACTATGGAGAGTTTGAAGGGGAATATCCTTTCTTCATGGTGATACAAAATTCCAAACTCTCATGTGATTGATATCATTGTTTTCAAGGCTAAAACAAAATTTATGTAGTTGTGTTCTTTATATTTTATGTCTGGTAATATATTTCAATATCTTATTTACAATAAAAGTAGAACTAATAAACCTGTAATATTCTTGACGACATTTATGTTCCTTGTTTATTTTTTTGAGGGACAACATCAGCAACTTTTCAGTCATCAAGCATTTCCTTAGTTTTTTAGCAACCTTTTAAAGATAGCCCTTAGAAACTTCACCAATCCCTTACTCAAACCCATAAAAGTATTTCAACAAATTTTGTCAGATCTTAGAACTTAAAAAGTTATTTTCTTATATAAAAAAACTCATTTCAGGTGTAAAATCCTGCATTTTTTATTTGTTTGTTTACTATTAGATATCTTGTAATGTAGAATTCTCTTTGTAAGACAATGGCAGAACGTCGAGAAGCTGGAGATGGAGAAGAAAATCCCTCTAAAAGTGGAGTGGGAGGAACTCGGAACTGGCAACCCAATGAAGATTACTTGAAAATGTTAATTGGCATGGGAGTCAGTAAAAATGCAGCAGAAAAGGTAGTGATATATTTTAATTTTTATGAAGTTTTCACTTAGGCTTCTTGCAAACAACTGATCCAAGCATGCTCACCATATTGAGTGAAGTACCAAACAGAAACATAGAAAAATCTAGTATGTGCATTTTTAGTTACTTTAACTTCAATTGATACATTCTTCCTTTTTGTTTTGTTGGAAACATTTTTGTGGATCCTACAATGCCATTTAGTAGGTCTGTGCATGAATGTACTCTCATCTATTCTCATAAAAATATATATATATATATTTAATTATTGATCATTTTTATAAGTTGTATTTAATTGCAAAGAAAAACAAAATACTTGTTTATTGTGGAAGAATAAATAATTGCAAAACATTGTACAAGTTAATGTGCATTTAATGTTTTTACAATTAAAAGGCCCCTTATGGAAGATCATTCTACATGCAAGGCTGTATTTTTTTGGCAAAAAAATTGATTTTGTTTTATTTCTGTATTTACTTTTAACGTTGTTTTTTCATATTTCACCAAACATTGTTCTGTGCATTTATTAAGTAATCATATTTTATGTTTTTTTGTCTGACAGTGTTTTTAGCTATCTTTATTTGTTCCTTGACAGGCTCTTTTTTACACTGGGAACAGATCTGCAGACTTAGCTGCTGGCTGGATTTTTGAAAACCAAGATGCTGACCTTGAAACCCCACTTGATGTAAAACATTTAATACTTTTGAAAAGAAGTTAATCATATTGAATCAAGAGTGTAGATGTTTTTTATCATGTCTAGTATCTTGTTGTATTAATTATATTACTATAGATGGGAATGCATGCTTTACCTTGTAAATATTTCACATGAGAAGTGTCCACAAAATTTGTAAACTCATTAAATGACATATAGAGCAGAAGTTAAATCATGGTATTATATTTCCATATACTGTAGGATTCTTGTCATTTAGTAAGTTATATTGTATTTTAACAATTGAAAATATTTTAATTTTGATGTCAAAAAAACAGACCTAAAGTAATAAGCATCAATGTCAATATAAGCTATAAGAATTAATGTTCAGTATATCAATAGGCATAAGTGTCAGTTTATATGCAATAGGCATCACTGTCAGTACAAGTAATATGCATTAACCCTTTCACAATGGGAGCCTCTTTAAACACTTTTTCTGTGCAAGTCACTGCATTACATTGAAAATTTGATTAGACATCTTTACTATCAATGTATGTGAATGCAATTAATATTATAATGTATGTTATGATTCAAAGTTTTATTTTATCCAAGTTTTAAGTATTTTATTTGAAAATGAACTTTCAAAAACTACTTAAAACTTAAGTTTTAACAGAATAAAACTAACTAAATAAAATTAACTATATGTAATAAGGATAAGACCTGAAATTACAAATTTAACAAAAGGAAAATCTTTAAAGGTATTCTACTAGAAATTGAAAGGCACATATTTTTTTTTTTCCTATTTCCTAATTTTAACTATTTCATTGCATTGTACGTTGATGATAATAGCTACAGTTAGTGATATGGTAGAAAAAATGAAATAGAAACATTTACCTTAAAAACTTTTGATATCCTTTTAGGAGGTTCTAGATATTTCGCAAAGGAAATAAGAAACTATATGATGAAGAAAAGTATTTTTATACTTAAAATTAAAATTACCTTTTACTCGATTTGTTAATAGTTTGAATGCAAGTAACTACAATGGAAAAAATATTATATTTTTAGTAAAAACTTAACTATAATAATGTCATTCTTTGTGTATAAGATGCTTATGATTTTTAACAAAATCTTATTAGTTTTTTGAATAGATGCATTAAGAAATCTCGGAGTTATTGCATGCATTGTTGTACAAGTGAAATTCACAACTAGATTTCCACAAATTGCACAAGCCTGCCACGAAAGGGTTAATGTTAATATACATTTTGAAAACTAGTTAATCAAAAGTTTACCTATAATATAATTTCATTAAAATATTTGCTCCCTGAATTTTATATAAGTTTATGATTGAACCAAACATCAAAACATTAGTAAAACGATATTAACCCTGCAAATATACCCAATAGCTCTAAGCAGAGATTGCAGAATTTGCTGCAGTGTGATAAGTTATTATTTTTAGGATTTTTCAAAAGGTTGAATATATACATACACAACAAAATAGAAAAGAGGAAATATGCTCATAAGAGCAATAAATATACTTTTATAATTCAGGCAGAAGCAGATGATCTTAGTGATGATGATGATGATGTTGCAGATGTGTTCAAAATGGTATTAGTTGTCAACATAAGTTTAGAAATGGGAACAGGAAAGACTGCTGCACAGGCAGCCCATGCAGCAATAGGGTTACATAGACTGTTACTTCAAGATGAAAATAAGTATGGAGATATGTTGCTTCAGTGGGAAGAGTTTGGGTATGTATTAATGTGATTGTTTGAGCTTTTTAGAAAGTGGGATGGAGATTGAAATTATTTTTAGAATTTATGATACATGGCCAGGAAAATGGTGTTATGGTTTCAAAGCCTGGATATGTAAAAATACTGACCACATAGTATAATTTGTTAATTTTTGAAGCAAAAATCAGAAAAGGGCACATACACTAGCAAAAGCAGTTTTTATTTGATAATTCATAAACCTAAGTAGGGAGAGATGTTACTTTAGATAGTGTGTTAAGCTTTAAGGCAAGTTAGTACTAACTGTAAAAATGTTTTTGCTATCAGTGGCTTTGTGTGGTCAGATATTGCTTATACTCGCCAACAACGACAAAAAAGGATGATTTAAATAAAGTTAAAAATGTTGTCTTTTAATTTTTCAAGTTTTGATTTTCTAATAGTAAAACGAAAACTGTTATAGAAGTCTCCTTTCTTTGTTTAAATATGAAGTGAAACAAAGATTGTGTTGGGAGCAGAAACAACTGAAGATCTAATTGAATTAGAAAGGAGAGCTTTATCCCTTGGCTTACCAACATATCTGGTCCAAGATGCAGGAAAAACTCAAGTAATTTTCTTTATTGTTGTTGTCATTTGATATAGCTGTGAATGATATGCATTACTGTAAAATTATTATTCTGTCAGACATACCTATCAGGCATAATCAAGATGTTAGTGATATGTTGTTTTGTAATGAGGGGGGAGGGAAGTACTAATAATTAAAATATTAATTGCATCGAAAACAACATGAAAATTAGTCAAATAAAAACATAATTAAGACAATAATAACTTTTTCAAAAAAAAGAAAGAAGTGTGGCTCGTTTGCTATTCTTTGTTTCTTCTTAACATTAGGCTGACAATAGATCACTGAATTATTGATATATAGGCTTTTTTGGTTCATCGATCACCCAAACAATCATTCTGTTGGATTAAAAGTAATTAGAAAGATTTTTCAGTCATGGTGATGAAGTACGATAGAAGTTTGTTTACAAGGCTACCGTAACTTATACAACTTAAATAGGTTTAGAATTGGAAGGTTCTATTAAAAGTACATATAGGTAAATCAAATCTTCTAAGTTGGAATAAAAATGTGAAAACTTGCATAATTATTTTCTGGATCTATAAACCTTGAAATTTACCAGTGTTCTTGGAAAGAATGTTAGAAGTAGTGGCAAAGAGCTTAGAAAGTGCAGATTAGTTACTGACTGATCAAAAATGAATGGATTTGAATTTTGGAAATAGTTGGTAAATTAGAAAATTCAGTCTTTGCAGTTTTGACAATTACACTTTAAACAGGGTTCACACAGTTCCTTGATATCCTGGAAAGTTGGAGAAAATCTGATCTAAAAATTTCATCACTGGAAATCCTGGAAAATGGGCAGTTTTAAGTTACAGTCTTAGAAAAATTATGGAGTTTCAGTAAAAAAAAATCCTCCATCAAATAATTGGCTTAACTTAAAAGTTTTGATAGTGAAAGTAACTTGTTTATTTTTCATGGTAGCCTTTGTGAATCTCATGCTTTTTGAGATCTGAGATTGTTTCAGTTTCTGGTGGTAGGCAGTTTGGTGAATGTGTTTTAAGAGTTCTGGAAGCTTGAGTATGGGTTCTCAAAGTTTTGAAATTCTTTTTTAAAGTGTATGAACCCTGTTTAAAATACTCAATGAAAATGTTATACTGTTGTAGAGAATATTTCTTGTACTTTTCTTCTGCATTAAAACTTATTGTACATTATATGTGTTGATCCAATATTAGTAGGAGGATTAGCAGCAAAGTATTGTTTTTCTCTAGATTCCTGAGGGTTCAACAACAGTTCTGAGCATTATGGGAAGAGTTGACCTTGTAGACCAGGTAACTGGGTCATTAAGGCTACTGTAAATTGTATGCTAAAAATATTATCTTTGTACAAGAAAGGAATATGATTGTGATTGGTTCAATTGATATATATGGTGCCTGCCATATTTTGTACAATATTTATATTTCTGTTCTATTACTATATTTTGTGTTCTTAGACAGTTGTGTTATGTGACATAATACAATTGTCAGGTTATATAATTTCTATTGATTACTGCATCAAAATTACAGTTTGTTCGATTGGCTATAGTGCTGTTTTTAAGTTATTTTGTCATCCATTACTTTTATGAGTGTAAATATCAAATTAATTTTTAATTCTGTTTAAGCCTGCAAATACTCTGTTTTGCCATAAGTATGTTATAATGTATATTATGAAATGCACATGTACCATTTATGTAGCATTGTTGGTTTTTGTCCCAAGGCTACAGAATTTTCAAATATTACCCTAATAATCAATTAAATTGAGAAAACTATTTCTTTGAGGATAAAATTGTTCTTTAAAAAATTAGAAAAATAACTTGATTGAATTATAAGTTGTTATAATGACTCGTTTTTTGTTGGTTTTTTTGTGGTATGTTTTTTATGTTTAAAACATAGGTGTTATTTTCCATAAATCTTTACAACTTTTTTTTTTTGTGTAATTTTTGGTTGAATAGTTTGCAATGACTGTATCTGTGTGGAGTTTTGGTGTAGATGATATTTTGGTTTCTGTGCTGAAGTCTTCAACTGGCAACTTTCATAAATGTATTGAATGATTTTATATTCTTTTCATGGCAAAGAACGTCAGCTTACCCATGATAAACAGTTATTCTTTTCACTGGCCCTTTGTAAGTATCATAGATTTTTACTACCGTAACCTATCCCAGTATTTTAAACATTCTCATGAATAACCTGAAACGTTTTATGAAAAATTGAGCTATTTGCCAAAGAAGTTAGAAAAATTGAATTAAAAACTGAAACCTGTTGGTAGCCTTATTGGCACACAAATATTTCTTAGCACTACTGTTGACACTGTAGAGCTATAACTAGGCAAGTCAATGCCTGGGGCTGGATATCATATTTGCCCCCCCCCCCCATTTGTGAGTACTGTTGTAAATAATTTTGGTCATTTTGCTGTCCCTCACCATTTTAGGCCCCGTGAGGCTGCTCTACTTTGGTTATGGCTTTAGCTCTACTCATTACCTGTAACTATCACAAGTCTCTTTTTCTGAAGCTAACTTCCATCTTAAATGTTGACTGCATCATGTAACCAGGACTTTATTAAAATTGAGTGGGGCCCAGGTATTATTTAGATATAATGGTAATAATAATAATAACAGATCACTCTTGCCTCTATTCTGCTAGTTTTACAAACTGTAATTTTTCTACTTGGTTGACCGGTACTGCATATAACCATTCTTGCTGTTCACAAACAACACTTATTTCCTGTTTCATATGCCTTGATGTTTACATGAAAGTTCTTGAAATTAAACCTGTACAGTCTACCTTGTAAAATGAAGAATGTGGAAACAGTATGTTGATGGCACTTTCATCCTTTGATCTTGCGAACAAAATATTCAAGATACCTTTCTTTTCAACATAATAACCTCATTTACACTCACTTGACTTTTTTTCTAAACATCCTTACATTCTGACTTAACCTCCATCTCTCCACTTGTAACATGTATCTTCTCTTCAAGTCATAAAATTCTCCACTCTGCCATAACCAACTTTTTTGATTGTTTTTTCTATCTAAGAATATCATAAAAATCTGTAATGTATACCAAAAAGACTCATTCAGTTTCATCCAAGTTGGACTTATAATGCTATCCACCAAAGATCACCTAACAGCAAATCTAAGCCACATATATATGCATCTGTCAGTGTCTGGTTTACTTCAAAACTGATCAAACTTTTTGCAGCCAAGATACAAAACGAAAATGACAAGAAAATAAAAATAAAGTTTCCTATCATATACTTGAGATACTGGCAGAATAGTGAAATATATCACTGTAATATAATTCCAGTATTGGTCCTATAAGGTTGTGTTCAATATTAGAAAATGGAAGGTTTATAAAGAAATCATCTTCAGTAAACTTCACAACTCACCCAAACTATCCAGTATAATGAGATCTGAACTTCTGTGTCATACAAACTCTCTCCATAAAGAACACATTACTGTTCTTTGATATATTGTTTAGGCAGAGTATTTATGATGAAACTTAGTTGAATGGATGGCAACTGCTTGTTATAGAAACACAAGTGTAGGGGACGACGTTTCGAAAATCTTCTGCCTTTCGTCTTCAGGTCAGTGTGCATATGGTATAGTAGGTCCTTGTAGTATTCTAGTGGATTGTGGAGAGAATACTATAAAGATTGACTACACCATATACACACACTTACCTGAAGCTCAAAGGTGGAAAACTTTCGAAATGTTGTCCTCTACAGTTGTGTTTCTACAACACGCAGTTGCTGTCCATTCAACTAATTTTGATCAACATGTCATTGATTGGAGCTCTGCTATGTCCTTAACGATATCACATGCTAGTTTCCAGTAGACTGAAGTCCTTTGAGATGGATGAACTGTATATTATTGAAAGTTTCTACAAATTATCAGCATAATAACAGATAAAGACTTCAGCGTGAATACTAGAACATTGTTCACAGGAAAACTTCATGCAGAAGTAGATAATAAGAGATTCAATGGCAGTACCTGTACATCTGTAGGGCATTTAAAATTGAGGCATTATTGAATAAAACTACTCCAGAGTAATTTTTTTTTAAACTTATTTAACAACTGGAAAATTTTTTAATAGTTACACCACTTATTTCTCCGTAGACCCTTTTTCTAGCTTGTAATAACTATGCTATGATTCCACGTTACATTCACAAAGAAACTATTGGGTGCAATCTTTAAATTGTTTTTGTTGGTACTTAATGATAAGCACTTGTTTATTTTTTACAATGTGTGTACAAGAATGTTCTTAATTGGTGGAAACATTGAAATTGAGTTAGGAACATATTTGTTTTAGGTTCATGTGTGTTTTCTGTTATCTTTGAAATACCAACATTGCTTTGAAACTTACTCTGTTTAAATACAGGTTTTGGGATTATAATGGAATTTGACACAAAATAAAACTGTTCTCATTCACTATGCAGTGGTATTTAGTACTTTTATTTACTTAAGCATAGTTACTTTATATTGAATTATTATTGTTAAATATCTATGGTCAATGAATTGATGTTATTTGCCAAGTGAGCATTTTTAAAGAAGTACAGAAGGCATAGATATTCTTTGAGAAAAAGAATGCTGATAGCTTTGTGGGACCAGAGTATTTGCAATGTACCAAAACAAATGTACAGTAACTGTCAGAAAACAAAGAGTAATGTGTAATAGAAATATAGTTACAGGAAGTTGTTAGGAATTGATTTTCAGAAGAAAAATTATTATATAGTTATTGTTGTGACTATAACAAAGTATGTTACCAAATATTTTACCTGTCACATTTGTTTAAAATAAGTGCAGAATAAGGGAATGTAACTGTTTGTAAAAAATAAATCACAAATAGAATATAATAGTACTCTTGGTGAAAATGAAAACTAGAAGGTGATTCATCTTATTAAAAATTCTCAACTTTTTTTTTTTTGGAAAAAATACTACTACTACTACTAGCAATAAACTAGAATATACAAATTAAACTTTCACAATAGATGTTTTAGTATATTATAGGCTCTTGTTAACAATAAATGTTATTTTTTAAAACTATTGGTAATTTTAATAATGTTTAAAAAGACTATTCAACCTTAAAGAGCATTCTGTCATGCGGGGTTTTTTTTTGTAAGGTGTGCAACTTCTAAGCTACCAATAAATTCTTCCATAACCATCTTTGTGTGCATTTTTTATGTAAGGGAATAAATATATTCTTTGTTTTGAGGAACAAGTAATAAAACCACTCAGAAAATTGGAAAATTATATAAACAGACAGTGCAAATCTATACCTTAAGTTATTCCTATAACAAGTCTTCCATTCTTGAATATAGCAATACTGTTATTTCAGGCACATTCTTGTTAGAGTGACTGTATTCAACCAAAAGGCCTCGTTGGCACTAGATATAGTATGGTTGACATATTCTTTACTTTTATAAGCTCATATATTAGTAATAGCACCATGCGAGTTTCCAATATTCAAGTATAACTGACTTACCATGCTAATACCTCCAGTTGGTTGTCTTGACAACAAAGGAATAATATTTAATCATTTAAGTGGTTATCTGAAACAGACACATTTACCATTTTTTACTGTGTTAAAATTGCTAGTATTTAGTGCTCATGTTTATTTCATCAACACTAAAAGTTATGCTATGAAAATCAAAGGGCATAAAAATTATCAAAGGCAATGAATCCCAGAATGCTTTGCTTCGTTACTTAAAATATGCATGTCTCATCATTTTTATTTAAAAAAAAGCAAATCTTTTTATTCGTGATATTTCTGAATCATATCTTTGTATATACAAAGAGTAGCATATAATAAATATAATTACTGTACTTGGATTTGTCAATAATGAATATGAAAACCAGAAGGTAAAGGGGCTCTACTCTTATTGTACAGAATTTGTACGAGTCAAGGAAATGTTGGTAGGGCAAAGAATTATATGTGAGTCATGGAAAATAATATTTATATTTAAGTTTGAAAAATGACCTGATTAAGATCAAATATTGTTAACTTTGATAATTTCCTGTTATGGATGCAACCTTCCATTTGTAATCTGGTCTAAATGAAAGCTGTGTGATTGTCTTAGCACACTAATGTATTATCAGGTTTCCTCACAGTTCTGTATGTTTACCTATGCTTTCATAATTATCATATCAGTCTAATCAATGTTGCTCAAAGTTACTGTTTTAAAAAAGTAAAGTAGGGCACTCTTTCGTAAGTCCCCGGGTATGTCAGCTGTAAGTTTAGGAACAAACAATGCTAAAATTCAAGGTTCAATACCTTTTGATAGACAGGGCATAGAAGGCTAATTGTGTAAACAACTAACCAAGCAACCCTTTTACAACTGTTAAAAAGAGTAATATCATTTTGAAAATTTTGCATATTCTCCATTTCGGAACACAATAGTCTTTGTAGAACCTGAACATTTGTAATTGAAATTAAATCATCAAAATATCAGTCACCTTTAGTTAGCCAAGCATCATCAATCACGTTTCAAGACTTATCACCTAAACTAGCTATATTATATACATTGAAGGAATTTTAACCATAACTTCTGTGACATTTCTTCTCCAAAAAACATTTTAATGTTGAAATGTTAAAAACTGCAGTTAAATATGAAATTGTGACACTTTTGAACCTAAGTCGATAGGATATATGTTAACTAATCTTAGTTACAACTAAGTAAATATTTGTCTTTTTTATAAACAATATTACCATTGTTATAGAATGCTGGCATGTTTGTTTACAGTTTTGTAACAGTATAAAAATTATTGCCAGTTGCGATATCATATATATCTCTCATCTATATGCATTTAGAGAAATCACATACAAGAATATGTAAAAAAAAATCATTTACAGTTTGTGAAGTCTTTAACTATAAAAATTACTAGTTTAAAGACAACGAAATATAAAAATGTAATTAATGATTTGATGGTGTTTTTAGTTTTAACTAATATTGATAAGCTTATTTCTGTTCTTAGTACTAAAAACTACTGTAACTCCTCAGGACTCCCTACAAAATGTAGGTAAACTATCTTCACATTGGAGTTGAACTTTGTAAAATTAGTCTTTAGATTCATATTCAAACTGTTCGAACACTATTATGGTTCTTACTCTGAACTGCTTATATTGAATTTATTTGTGGTTCACAAACACACACAGTCAGCTGAACTACATTTAATTATTAATAAATACATAACTTATAAAGTCTAAATGTATCAAAGTTATTGTGATTTTCGAAGCTAGGGAGCCTCTCTGTGGTACCCGAGACAGTTCATACAGTTTGTCAGATTTGTACAGCTAGGCTTTTCACTCAACCTGTTCATGGGTTTCTTTGTCAGTTTACCTAGTATTAAAGTCTACAGTTGCTTTATGTGATGAAAAGTTTATCCAAAACTTCAGAAATGTACACCCATTCTGAATAAACCAGTAATTATTTTTTCTAATCAAGTACCTTGCTAAGTGATTAATAAAGTTTGAAAAATAGTTTTATGTAGTCCAGTGTGTTGTAATTGCTGTGGAGTTGTGCTTGTTCTTGTTATGTTTCATATTATATAAAGTTTTATTTATTGAAACAGCTATTCATAACATTGTTAATGAAGTGAATAAAAGGTTGGTAGCGATTGAAGACAAAATTTATTAGAATACATTTAACAAATTTATATTTTGGTTAATCCTTCTTTTCAGTTTCGTGATGTTTTAAATCATTGTTGTGATATTGTTTATTGGAATATCTTATTTCAAATATTGATTGAGCTATACGTTAATTTTTCAAAACTCAGTATCTCATATGATGTCATATAAAAGATGTTTCGCACTTTCTTTTTCAGTAGTAATTCTGGGTATGCGTGCATGTTGTGAGACTGTTCAAATGGTTTTATTTGTCATAGGTGATAGTATGTTTTAATTTCATTATCCTTAATTTTTTATCTCTTTATCTTCACAAATGTGTTTAAGCCAGGAGACAATTTATTGTTTTAAGTTGTCCAACAAAGATGTATGTGTGTGTGTATGTGATTTATCAGTGGAAAGTTAAATGTTAGCAAAATAAAATCAAACCATGTTTCTATCTTGTTTGAGCTATGTGCAATATTGTCTTTCTATAAAGTTTAGTTATATCTGTTTCTTGCGGATTTTTGCATAACATTCTACTGTACTAATTAATTATGAGGCTTTAAATTCAATTGCCTTGCTCTTCCAAGCAAGACCTATAAGCCATGAACAAGTCAACTGCAGCATGAGTAACAAAAAAAAAGATTATTGCCTTCCATTTTTGCTTCACCGAAATTTACATTTTTGTGAGGAAAAGAAATTCATAAGTAATTAGTTTTAGTTAAATAATTACTAAATTAATCTTTTCTTTAGTTTTTTTTTTTTTTGCTAAGAATTTTTGGTATGTCTAACAAAATTCTTCTCTGTTACTCAACAGTCATTTTTAAATTTTTTGGAATTTAAATTTTTGTTTTTCCATAAGTCTTTATTGTAACGGAAGGAAGACATTTTGCTCATCTAAAAATATGACCATAAACAACTGTAGCTTCATCGTACTGAGTTGATTTTACATAGAAAAGAAGGAAAAGAAATTCATAAGTAATTAGTTTTAGTTAAATAATTACTAAATTAATCTTTTTCTTTAGTTTTTTTTTTGCTAAGCATTTTTAGTATGCCTAACAAAATTCTTCTCTGTTACTCAACAGTCATTTTTAAAGTTTTTGGAATTTAAATTTTTGTTTTCCATAAGTCTTTATTGTAACTCTGAAGGAAGACATTTTGCTCATCTAAAAATATGACAATAAACAACTGTAGCTTCATCGTACTGAGTTGATTTTACATAGTTGATTGTAGTAATGAACAAAGTAAATAAATAAAGTAGAGTAAACGAAAAGACACCCATTAATTTAATGTTATAAGAGACTTGTTTTGCAGCTTCAGATTAGTATGATCTAACAGTGCTAAATGTGAGAGATTAATTATCATTAGTAATAATTTATACTTATAGAGTATCTGCTCTTGATACTAGTATTTTATGATAATAAAACAAGAAAATTAAGTGTGAAATTTGTTCTCAATTGTTATTCAGCCTTTGAATTATACTTTAAAATAACTGTTTTTTAGCTAATTATAAACTGGAAACATTTAAAATTTTAATTGTATGATATGAAAATAGTTTTATTACTATTTTAAATTAACTGTTTCTTGCTGCTATTTTAATTTTATTTGTTGCATAAGTTTGTGAGCTGGAAAATATTGTAAATACAGAATTAGAATGTGCTTAATAAATTTTTAAAAACATGCTAATTTTTATGTTTCTTGACTTAACTTTGAGAGATATCAAAGTAAATGCGTGTATGTACATACATACATGGTTGTATACATATAATGCTTACAGTTCTTAGTGTGTCGCTGGAGAACTTTTGTTCTCCTTGATGAAAGACATTTTAAAATATAGTAATCTTAAACATAGAGTTTTCTTTGTAGTCACCATCTAAAGTCAATTCACTCCTGCTTTACACATACTTAATCTCTGAATTTCTTCTTATATATTTCTTTCTGTACTTACGTACATACAAGATTCAAAAGTTGAAGTTCACAACTTAAGTATGTTAATAAGGATGATATTTAAAGGTAAAGTTCACTAGATACCATTCAGAAAATAATATGATTTTCCAGAAATATTGCCAGATTTTAGTTCTTTAACATACAAAGTATAAAGCAGAAAGTAATTGACTTTAGGTGTACAGGGTAGCTATAAATGAAACACTAAATAAACTTCTTGTTTCTTAAACACAACTTGTGTTAGGGGAACAAAATTTTACCAGAGGCACATTGAGAATTAAGTTTTATTCAATAAATCTTGGATGGGGTACAGTGTCTTATAAAACACTGCATACCTAAATTGTTTTTATTTCTCTTCTTTCTCTATAAACAACATAAGATTGGTGATTTGAATTAAATACATGTCAGTGTGC